TTACTCAGTGGCATTCTGTTCACTTTGGCTGTATCTATTTGCAGCTGTGACTCTCCAGAAAACACTGATTTCTGTCTGAACCCGAAATTTAGGTAAGCAAACTTAGTTTTCTGCTCTCTCCTCTCAAGAGAAGGAGAAGTGGGAAGGAAGGACAGGCCAGTAGCCCCCTGCAGGCTCTGCTCCCTAGCCTCCATGCAGGGTAAGGGGAGCACACCTTGTCTGGAGAACCAGCATGAAGGTGGGCATGCAAAGGGATGTCAGACTGGGAGAGGAGACAAGAGAGGGAAATAAGGTTGCTTTGAGTGTCTTTGTCCTGGTGGGAAGAGATCGGCAGCCAAGGGGCAGCAGGAGTCTGTAGGCAAAGAGGCTGAGAGAGGAATGGTGGGTGCCCAACAGGGTAGAAGAGGGCAGGGAGCTGCTGGCTGTGTGTGTGAGCGCGCCTAGGCGTAACACGTATTTAGCACTGGAGTGAGTCCAAGTCAGTTATTAATTGCTTCGTGAGGGTAAACCAGAAGGATGAAAAAGGCAGCTGTTTGCTGCCAGGATACTGTAGCACTGCTTCTGAAAGTGCACTTTGATACCATGCTGTGTAACCATTTTGTAGTTGGCGGCATAAATACGTTTGGTGAAAGGTGCAGCCCATGGAAACTTTTTATAGCAGCTATGGGAAAATCTGTAGCCTGTTCCCTAACTTGGGAGCAATGTGCTGAGTGCTTGGATAAAGGCACTGCACTTACCCATTTGTGCGTGTGAGAAGGAGGTGGAAAGGCCTAGGGAGCAGTGGAGTGAGAGGCCAGGGCTCGGATTGTGCACTGGGCTTGGGAAACAATGGGAGGAGACAGCATAGCCAGGTGATTTTGGGTGGCAGGAGGGGTACCTGAAGGAGCCAGGTCTATCACTGCTGCTTCTGGGACCACCACTGTTTTCCTGAAGCTACAGTATCTGTCAGGGGCGATGTGCAGGGCAGCTCATAGTGTGGGGTTGAGCTTGTTTTGGGGCATCAATTTCACCACCTACATCCTTGATGGGCAGGTTAGATCCCTTCTGCCCATGAGCCAGCAGCTATGGCCAGACCCAGCTCAGATGTAGCTGCTCAGAGGTACTCCTTCACCTTGTCCTTCATGTATCCACAGTGCATGTGTCTGAGGATGGGAAACGGTACTACCTGCCAGCCACCTGTTACCTCCTCCTGCTCTCTCCATAGGGACATGCACTGGTGTCTTCTAGGCCGGTCCCAGGTTTGGTTTTGCATGCATGCACTGTGTGAGTACGGGCAAGGTGCAAGCAGTGTGCCTGCTGCAACGGCAGGAAGCGTTGGTCATGGTTCTCTTTTCTTGGGGAGTTATTTCCATTGTCTGCCATAGGAGACTATTTTTATCTGTGGTAAACAGCCTTAATTCCAGCGCTGTGTGATCTTTGGTGCAACCTGCGCATAAGCCAAAAGGCAGGAGCCCACAGTCCAGAAACTGCGATCTTGATTCAAATGCCCATGGGAATCCATTTTACAAAGCATGTCTGATGTGCTTTTAGTAACTCCTGGTGCTGAGGAGAGGTTTTATTAAACCTAAGCATGTTTAGACTTTCTGGCTGCTGAATACCTTGTGCTCAAATATTTTGCTTTGCTCTGGTCCAGTGAGAAGTGATGAAACCTGGATGTCTGAGTAAAGGCTGCCAGCTTCTTGCCAAATGGGGTGATAAAAGCAGTTCTAAGAAGTAACGTTAAGTGAAAATGTAGTGTTAGCAAGGAATCTTGTGTCAAAACGACTGGTGAATACAGGTATTTCCAGCCAGAAGAGCAGTGCCTGTAGAAAAGAGTGTGACATAGGTATTTAAACCATGGTTTTCATAAGGACAATCCATTGTGGTTTAAACTCAATGCATTTGAGGTTTGGGCAGTACATTTGTACTGAAAATCAAAATTTCATGTGGAAAATAATGATAAGAGCAAAACTAATGGTCATACTGTTCACATTTTTCATTTGAAGATGTGAACAGAGATGCATTTTTAATTCCTTACATTTGGCCTCCATGTCTGAGCTCTTGGTTATACAGTGGGGTTAAATTTGTAACTTTTTTTGTTGATTTAGTCATTAAATCTTTAATCATTCAAATAATTAATTTTTTAATGTGAGGTTGATGAGGCACTGGCACAGGTTGCTCAGAGAAGCTGTCTGCCCTATCCCTGGCAGTGTTCAAGGCCAGGCTGGATGGGGTTTTGAGCAACCTGGTCTAGTGTGAGGTGTCCCTGCCCGTGGCAGGGGGGTTGGAGCTGGATGATCTTTAAAGGTCCTTTCCAACCCAAATCATTCTATGACTCTATGAAACCTTTCTTTGAATGAATTATCAGATCATGTGTTTTATTCTGTCTTTCCTCTACACCTTCAGACTCCTTCCCTAGGGTGCACTTTCCAGCAAATTTCACATTGTCTCACTTTTTGGACATTTTTTCAGTTCTTGTGGTGAACAGTCTTTTGTCACGACCATTTCCTTTGAGGCAGTCAGGCAGACAGGACAAGAGGCAGCAAGGGATGTTGCAGGTGTAGGATGATGCTGTGCTTCCCTGTCATCATCTGGAGTGTTTGAATGACCACATTCCACTAGTGAAAAGTCGAAAAATAGGATTTGTGCTTTCTTCTCTCAAAAGATGTTCTTGTGTTAATAGGTTCCAACACTGAGGCAAGGGCAGGGTTTTAGAAAAGGAGTTTCCCCGGGAACATGACCTCATGTAAACTTGAGAGAGGAGGATGGCAGGCTGGGGTCTCTGGGTCACAGTTTTGCCAGTTTACTTTCTGCAGAAGTATAATGCTCTGTGACCTGAACAGTTGTCAGGGTCCTTCCATGATAGCGATGTCTTTTTTTGAGGAGTGTTTTGAACCACAAAGGATGCTTGGGTTTGTACTGAGGTGACAGAGGCCAGAGCACAGCCCAGCAAGATGAAGACTGTGAACACTAAACTTTTCATTTTAAAGAGTTCATCCCCATGACATTTGGTTGTGGTTGTGTAACTTTTCCCTTTGTTTTACCTTTCCTTTTCCAATAAGGATAAATTGCAAACTAAGCTCCAGTTACTTTATTTTCATCAGCCCAGCTAAAGTAAATACTTACAGTTAGAAACATGCAGTTTAAATTAAAGGTCATGAGCATGTTTTTTTCACTGCATGGTAGATGGCTACACAGGCAGCAGGGTTGTCCTGTGTCATGCTGGAAGCAATGTGGTTTTATACTGCCTGGGCCTCTGTGACCCCTCCTGGATTCAGAAGGTTGATAGCTCATATACTGTATTGCTCCTTATATTCTTATTCCTGCTGCAGAAAGTTTCTATTAAAAGATGATTTGCTTAGGAGGCCAGTTTGCTTTTCATCTTGAGTATTTTTCCTATGCATTCTGAAATCAATACATTGGATAAAAGGCTTGAACAACAGATGTTTTTTAAAGCATGTGAACAAGGAGATCTGAAAAAATGTATTTAATATGGTTTATGGTGATATGATTTTGGATCTATGTCTCCTGTTCACCTCTATTCCAAGCATGAACCTGCAACAAAATTAAATAGCAGGCAACAAAGCTAGTAATAATGCTTAAGCTTCAAAAAAATGCTGTTGTTTGTGAAAAAGCGTTTGAGTTGGATGAAATGGCAGTGTAATTATCTAGTAGCAAGTCAGAGTTTGATAGCTTGGAGCTTATCTTTGCACAGCATGCCGCTTTCCCCCCAACCACCAGTGTGGCACATTTCTTTATCAACACTTCATTTCTAGTTGTTCATTTTTAAATAATCTTATCAAACCTTAATTTTGTTTCATAGTGATTGTGAAAGGAAATTCAGATAGTAATTAAAATGCACCAACTAAAACAGTTTAACCAAAATACCCCCCAAAGTAAAATTTTGGGTAGTTAAAGTGAACATTGTGAATTCCCAGCTCTGCAGGATTCTTAATTTTATTAACACTTCCAGGACCAGGTTCAGTTTTGCGCTGATAAGGGATAACAGTAGACAAGACTCCTATGTAAAGAGTGCCTGTGCCCTAACTGAGTGAAAACAGGATTGCTGGTTATATGTGCATGCACATGGCACTAGTTCCACTGTTATAATAGTTTCCATTATTTGGAAGATACAGCAAAATGAAATAATTCAATTTTTAATATATACATTATAAGTTACTAGCACACTTTTAAATAGTTCAATAAAAATTGCTTCCTTTAGTAGTCAAGGTCTCTTACCTGATACCTGCTTCCTTTGCCTCCTTGAATGCTTCCTGTTTTCTGTGTCAGTCCCCACATCCCCCCACGTATTTCCATACACCTTTTCCTGTTGTCATACGTTCTGCTGCAGCTGCTCCTCAGGTGCCTCTCCAGCAAGGGAAGACTCCTACGCAGTGCTCCCAAAACACACTTTGCAGGCACCTCTCCTCACCTCTTGAGGAAGGAGGCAGCAGCACTTACATCTCCAGGTATACTACCATGGAGTAACCTATGCGCTATTAACGATACACATCCCACATTTGAAGCTCCTCTTGTGTCTTTGCTTTGTCCCCTGCACTTTTTCTGTTGCGCCAGTGGCACAAGAAATATAACAGGAAAGCAAGATGAGTCAGGTCTGTGATAGTACGTAGTTAAGTCGTGTTTGTGTTTTCATGTATGATTCAGTTACCCTCTCTCTGATGGCTCTTTCTATGGAAATAAAATGCGGAATGAGAATTGGGATAAATCTGTTTAAGGCAGAATCCTATCTATTACATGTGGAAGCGCATCATCAGTGTTTCAGTAGCGTTTGGCTGTAAAACAGAAAGCCAGAGAGACTGTGTTTATATGGGACTGTCAAATGCATCTTAGTTTATGAATGTTTCCAACCCTCCTTTCTACTGCTTTACAAGAGAAATATGACCGTGTTTATTTTAGTGGAAGCACACATGAGACACCATTATGTGACCAGTATTTTCTTACACATTTTTTTATTGAGGAATAAGTTTTGTTTCTCTTCCTTGTTTCATACCCTGCTGCAGGGGATGGATGTGGGCACATGGTGATGTATCAAGACAGCGGGACCCTGGCATCCAAGAACTATCCTGGGACGTACCCAAACTACACTCTTTGTGAAAAGAAAATCCAAGTGCCTCCAGGAAAACGCCTGATCTTAAAAATTGGAGACCTGGATATTGAATCACAGAAATGTGAATCCAGCTACCTTACCATCCAGAGCTCTTCAACATTGCATGGTATGTAAAAGATAAGATAGCGGTCGATACATGAACTGTTAGATGTGTGATTAAAAGCTAGCTCAGCAAAATGCAAGAACTGTCAGCCTTTGTCCTTTCCTCCTCCTTTTCATATTCAAGTGTGTTCTCAGTATGGGAGATCATTGCCCCTCACACCTGATGTTGTTCTGCAGAGGCTGGGGGTGCTGCCATGCTGCACTGCTGAGATGCCAGAGGGGCTTGTGCCCAGCTGTGGCATATCCACCTGAGAGCTCTGCTCTCAGGCCTGCAGAGCTGTACTATCACAGCTTTGGCGCAGTAAATACATGGATCTGTATCAGCCCTGTTCCCTTCTTGGGTAGGAGAAGAGGTAGCTCATGAACTAGGCAAAGACAAGATGAGAAGCTGGAGTCCATGATCCTGCATGTCTCTATTTCCTAGTTCACGGCTCAGAGGGGAGATAACCTTTATTATTGCTAGCTATTAGTTACTGATAACCTTTGCTGATGTACAGGCTTTAATACTTGCAGATATTAAATGCCCACAGCTGGTCTGCAGTCCTGTAAGAGATTTGCACAGGAAGGTAAGTCAGTAATCTGCTATAGCTGTACACTTAAAACAATCATAATGACAACATGATCTTACCCAGGGAGAACCCGGGGCCTTCCTCAAAGCGGTTTTCCCAGACAGTTGTTGCTGAAACTTTTGATCTGCTCTTTCTGGAAGAGTCAAACCGATTTTCAAGTCAGTGTGCCCTTTTTCAGAAGTCCAATTAAAATTCAGGGCTGCAAGGAGTTCCACAGGCAGGAATAAACTCATGAATCCACAGCTCATAAAATTTTGCCTTCTGGGAATGAGTGATAGCCCTTCAGCCAGCTGAGGCTGAATGTGCTGTATGTGACTTATAAAACAGAATGGATTCAATGGGAAAAGACAGTGAAGAGATGAACTACACAGAGCCTCTGCAGGTTTTCCAGCTCACCCAACTCATTGCTTAGCTCAGAAAAGTGAGTGGTTTCCCTAAGATGAGGACTCATAAGATGTCTTAGTAGTATGGAGGAATGATTACCTTTCATTCATGAGCATGATAGTCCTATTACTCATCCTGTAAGATAAGATCAAGTGAGGTATTAAAACCTTGCTCCCAAACCAAGGTAAAGGTAATTATTGTTCTCACGGGGGAGGTATTACATTTTGAAAGAGCTTCACTAAGAGTGGGCAGTGACATGTTGATATCTAAGCCTTGCACAGAGCTTGATTTGAGGAATAAGGAGCATCTCTGTTAGTGTGTGCTGTGATTTTTTTTTGGTGTTGTTTACTTCATTCTTTACTGTGAGGTTGGTGAGACACTGGCACAGGTTGCCCAGAGAGGTGGTAGATGCCCCATCCTTGGCAGTGTTCAAGGCCAGGCTGGATGGGGTTTTGAGCAGCCTGGTCTAATGAAAGGTGTCCCTGCCCATGGCAGGGGAGTTGGAACTGGATGATCTTTAAGGTCCCTTCCAACACAAACCATTCATTCTATGATTCATTTCAGAACTGTAAGTAGTGAGTTGTGTTCACCTAAAGTAGTCTGTCAGTACTTGGCAGTAAGAAATAGTTTAGTATTGCATTATCATGTCTTTGAACAGTTTTTATTGATGCTATCTTGACATTTCTGATCAAAGGCTAAACAAGGATAAATAAATATATTGTTTTCTGAAGTGAAAAATTAAGCTTACATGTTGATTGAAATTCTGGCTCCTTACACATCAGCCTGAAGACATCTTCACATAGTTCAGTCCTGTAGTTACTCAGCCTGAAAGCACAGAATACCTGTGTATTATGCAATCAAATCCATGTAATGAATTTCTTTAAAGTATTCCCACACCCATTTTCAGACCTGATTGGCAATGTCTGATGCATGCGGATTATAATTTGCATTCTCAGTAACGAACTGCACAATTAGCAGATTTTGCTCATATCTGATTAAACAAGTTTTATGGCTTAGGCAGACATACCATCTGCAATGGTTTTTGTGGTCTGCAGCTCACTGTAGACTTTCCCACTAGAATACCTCCAGAATCTCTTCAGGTAAACCCATCCAAGACAACGTGGAAATAGTGCGATATCACTTATGTTTTAAAAGACACAGAGAAACTCTGATCTCATATATGAATTTCAGTTGTTTCAACAGTTTTGCTATAGCTCTGGGTTTTACTATGCATTTATGTAAGGGAAAGAAGATGCGTAAGTAAGCACTGCTAAGTTTATTCAGACTGTTTAGTGTCCTTTTATATAGCTGCTTCTGAGCCCAGATCTCCCCTTCAAAACCTTTCCATGTACAAGCAGGTCAACCTCTTCCCTTTGGGCAGGAATATACTCACCTTTGCCATTAAAATTCTTTCATAGGATGGTGGAGAGTTGAAAAGATTTTGCAGGCCTTGAAAATATATGAGCAATTAAAACCTTGCATCTTTGCATGTTTTCTGCATTTGACCTGGATTTAAAAAGGAAACCTAAAAAAAGCTAAGTATGAAAGCTGGCAGTGTGAATGTTACTCTTGTTTCAAATTAGCCAACCAGCCTTTGCTCTTTATTTAACACGTCTGCAATTATAAGACAATAGGGGTCCAAAGGGAAATATGTTTTAAATACCATGCCAATCTCTTCACTTCTATAGAAGACAACAGGGTGAATGTCAGTACACTTACAAATATCTGCTGAGGAGTGTATCTGAAGATTAGAAGATTGGTCAGAAGCAAAACACTAGATTATGCGTGTAAATATAATATTAGTGTAAACAAGTTTTCAGATGACAAAATATTGTTTTCCTTTCAGATTTCTCATGTTTCACATGTTGTCTTTACATTTAACTTTGATTCATTTATCATTATAACCTTCTACTGGGATTCATGCAGTACAGCATGAGTAACTCAATTTGTGGTTGGTGTATTATGTTCCATGAAGTAAGGGAAAGCTGTTGTATACAAATGAACGGATTAATTGATTTATGTTAACCATAACATTGATTTCTTCACTTTTGTAGGTCAGTGATTACAGATTAGACCACTTGCATGAAAGTTTTATTAAAATTCAGGGCATTCATCAAATTTTGTAGGCTGAGTATTACAAACATAATTCCATCCTAGCAAAGCATGTAGCATTGCTCTGTATGCAGATCTACTGAAGCCTCCCTACTCAACTGGGACACAAATGTGACGCTACAGTTCTCACCTTTGATAGTTCTCAGCTTTGATGGACCCGTGAAGGCAGCCATTGCATTTAGATTTCTCGAACATTGTAATCAAAAGATGGTCATTAGCTAATCTTTATGAAGCTCTGAAACTGGAGACTTAAAGTGGCTGAACACTTTATCTCTGTGTTATTACTCTGCAGACTGTTTTCCTTAGTGTTCACTGAAGAAATGAAACTGTAGCAAGCCTTTTCTTTCAAACTGTATCCAAACAGATGTGAAAATATTAATCACAAGTCAGCAAAGGTAGTCTAGCATCAGTTTTGGTGAAACTGAGTCACCTTTGTCTGACAATCCTTTAAATATTAGCACAGCTTGGCACATGGTGTCTCTAAGAGAAATAAATAGATGATCATGTTCTATTTCAAAGGTATAGCTTTGCACTCGATGAAAATACAGGATTGTTTATCCCACTAAAGTAGTCTAGAATGTAAATTTAATATGAAGCATGATCTCATGCTGTAGACAAGGTGCAACCTTTACTGAAATGCGTTTCTTCTCAAGTTAATTGCATTATCTGAGCATATTAAAAATAACTGAGCTCTGAATAAGAGCTTCTGATTTTTTAATTAGTTAAAGGGATATGTGAAAACAAGATTAACCATGTTGGCCCTGTAGTTCTCAAGAACAAAACTTGCACTACTTGTGAGGTGTAATATAAATGTTGTAAAAGTTTGACAGGAACTGCTTTTAGTCAGCTTCTTTTCATGTTTTTATCAGATTTCTGTACATCTTTTGACCTTTTTTTTTCCTTGATTCCCACCCCCCCTCCGGTTTCCCCAACTAATGGCTTAGTATTTTTTCCCTTAATTTTGTGAGATGATCATCAGTCTTGACTGAAGAGGGATTAAAGGAAGAGATAAGTGCCTACTTACTTCTCCATTCACTTGCAGTCAGTAGGAGGTTGATGTGTTCCTCTGGGGTGGATGTCAGATCTGCTGAGTGACTAGTAATAATTTGGAGAGTTGTGCAGTTAACTTGTTCTTGCATAATTTACAGCTGGTAACTAGCGTGAAATAGACAAATTGCTGAAAATGCTCTCTCCTCCCCGCACCCAGTTGCTAAGGGTTGCTATAGCTAAGGGTGTTATTGAGCACTTACTGATGTGTGATGGCTACAGAGAGAATGTGTGTGTGTGCACACGTGTGTGTGCGGGAGAACCAAGTGCTTTCGGATGCCTCCTACCTGTCATTATGACTTGAGGGGATTCATCAAACCAGTCTTCCCTTATTATGTATTGTTATAAATGTCTTGCTTGAATAAAGGGTGTGTCCAGATTTCTTTTTCGCCCTCAAAGGAAACTTGCTATTACAGTATTGTTTCTGGTATTTCAGGAAATCCAGGGAAATGCCCAGACATGTCCTCACTGAGGATCAAGTTGAGTGGTTTCCCAAGTCAAAACTCTTCTAACAGTTGGGTTTCGCCTGAGTGGTGGCAGTATCCTGAGGTTTCAGCTTTGCAAAGATTTATGCAACAAAAGATGTCTGCATTTGTTTTATCAAATGCATTCTTTTTTCCCTCTTAGCTGCATAAAGTGTATTGTGTATTTTTCTGTGGTTTTTGTTGAACAGCTGCAGTTCTTTACTCATGATTCCTAACTGTGCTGCTTTGGGTTTGGCTAAAACCACAGCCATGTTAGTAGTGGAGGATCTCACCTGAGGTCAAGCAGACAGACCTACAGCCTGTGCAGATGGCCTAGACTCTCTTTTTTTTAAATTGTAATTACATCTCCAGCCTGTCTTTTCTTGGATGCCTTTTTCTTTCCTTTTTCACAGTCTTTGGTAACCCTTTGGAAACTCTTATTGAATGTTATATTTGTTTTTCCTAAAATGAGAAATACTTATCCCTCAGCCTGAGGTCAGACTGTGTTGCACAGTTATACACTGAATAACCAGGCTGCCTCACCCTGACCACTCTGTCAACTCATATCTACTGAGTATTAAACATCACCTTATGTCCTGCAAAAAAGGACATAGAGCAGCACTTTTCGTCTTCTGGCACATCCTTGCAGGTAGATGCTGGTTATCCCTTGTGCATGTTGGGTTGGAGCATATGTGTATATTTCTCCTCTCTGGGGAGAAAAAGAGTTACTGCTTATGAAAATGAAACATTTATGTGAATGTGGGATGGAGATGAATTTCAAGAATGCAGATGTTTTCATACAACGGATCATTGCAGATTTTGTGAGCTCTTTGTGAAAGACTTGCACTCTGAAGTGGAGCAAGCATAATCCAAGTTCATCATGTCCCCTGACCTTCCCCAGCTACTGAGGTACTTCCAAATTGCTTTAGCTGAACAAAAAAAAAACCCTGCTAAATATAAGGATCAAAATTTAAAACATTTACCCCCCAAAAAAAAGCATTAGGAAAGGGTAATCCTGGAGAGGCCAATCTGTGGGATCATTGCTACACATTGCTCACCAGCCATGGCTTACCCTGAAAGTAAAGGCAGAAAAATTGGAGAAGATTCTCTGTTGAACAGAAGACATAATAACTTGATATCTAAACCAAGTTTCTCAAAGATCTCTGGAAATGTCAAACTGCAGATTTCAAGTGGTGTTGAGGAATCTGAAAGCAGAATGGGCATAGTGAACCAGACATGCAACAGCTAAAGCGGAAAATAATTGCTTTTAAAAGGAAGCAAAAGTCGTACAGAAGAGGTAGAAAGGATTAAGAACTACAGAAACCAACAGCATGTAGGCATGCCAGCTGGTGTGAGAGAAGAGAGTCTTCTAGGCACAGCACTTCTCAAGGGAAGTAGAAAAAATAGAGGAACGTAGTTCAACAAAGCAATCTCAGGAAATATGACAGAGCCTGGTTGACAGTAGAAGTAAACTAGACCTCATAAAACCAGACAATACTGTAAAGATCATCAGATTTGCAAACCAACACTATTATGAAAAAGACAAAAGCAGTAGACTATTGCTAATGTTTAAAAAATAAACAACACGTAAAATAGTCTCTTAAGTCTCCAGAGGAGCCAGCCAAAGGATATCTGTGAGGCAATTTACTGTGTATCTTGCAGGATGTTAATACTGCTTGGAGACAGCGATTCCAAAATAAAGTATTTAATTTAAGCCACCTAAACCATACCAAAAGATCAGAAGTTCTGGATGAAAGGCATTCAATGTTACTTTAATTATAGAGAATATTAAATTAGATACATTCGAAATCCTTAGGTCCCTAATAGCAATCCTGCAGAATGAAATAAATAAATAGGAAATAAGGAATCTAGAGCAAAGAGATGGAGCCACAGTTGGGTCAACTAGTTATTGAGACATGGAAAGAAGAAAAGACCCTGGCGTGTAGATGTAGTAATACTGAAATATGAAAAACACCTACTCAGTTTCATGACATGCAATATATCTGTTTATTAAATCAAACTCGTGTCTTTGTTCTTAGTAAACAAACCAAATAATCTTGCCTACTTACCCTAGCAGAGCTCCAGCCGAGTCACTTCAACAGGAAACAAGGAGAGAGATCAGCATTCACAACTTGTTTTTCAAGCTGAATATGCAAAACAACCCACCTTGCAACTAACATTAGAAGATGAAAAACTGATAACATGATCTGGCAATTCTCAAAAGGGAGCTTAAAAAACTTTTGGCTTAGTCCCAGGTTTAGGGATTAAATGTTTATCCAGAGTTAAGTCCAAATGCTGCAGTAAAAGTTAACAGGGCCCTATAAACAAGTTTCACATTTTCATACCAGATATAAAACAAGGCTTTCTCCATCATCCCTCCATTCCACTTGGTTCTACAGGATTCATATAGACAACCTAGGGAAATCAATAAATCCTAGATGGAATGCACAAAGAAGATGGAGGCACGTATAAGTAAAAGTAAGCAATAAAGTAGTGTTTTTATCGCCTCAAGTGCAAGCGGAAAATACAGACTAGTATATACAGTTGTTAGGTGAATTTTAGTGTGTACCAATGATGATTGGTTTTAATCTTCTAATGCCTATAAAATCTCACAATATAGGTATTCAAGGTAGTAGGTAAGTCAATGGAGAACAAATCTACTGTGCATATAGGAAATGCATCTAATTGAAGCAACCACAAGCTGAAATGCAGAGAGCCTGGGAGACTATCCTTTATCTGGCTTTACAACATTAAAGGAGGTGGAGGACTGCTGTATGGAAGTGTATTAGTCCTAGGCCCCTTAGTTTTGAGCTACTGATGGGAATCTCTCAGTACACTGGAACTGTTCTTGGCAGATGATAACCATAACCTGGTAACCCTTCTTAGATTTATTACTTAACAGTAGAAACATGTCTTTAGGCATTGCTTGCTGATTTTTTCTGAATTTTGACTTTCATTTGGATTATACAATTTTATATGTCTTATTTTATGTTTTTGTATTTGATTGGGTTTGTTTATATGTGTGATTTGTTTGTATAATTATCTGGAATGTAAGCAGACTTGCTACTGGAGGAGACACATAGCCCTAATCCAACCAGTGTGTGATTGAGTGAATCAGCCGTCTAAATTATACCTACAGAATAGATAGGTCACTGCCAATTGCTGTGAGGGAGAAAGCCAAAGAGTACTTGTGAGAAAATACCTAGAGACAATCCTTGAAAGAAGAAAAGGACTAAGGCTTTCTCAGATGTTTTATTCTGAAGAAATGCAATACCTTCTTGTCTTCTCCCCCTTTCTTTCTCTTGATAAGAAAAAAATAAGTTAGCACTTTTCTTCTCCCACTGCAATCTGACACAAAAGACCACCTCGAATAAATCACTCGTGCAGTTGTCTGGTATGACACAGTGTCAGATGCTGTCTTTTTGATAAGTTCATTTCCTAAGCAATTCATTTAACCCTTTTTATAGACTTTGTTTTCTCTGACTAAGTCGTGAGTCATTTTTAACACATGAGTACTCCAGGGAAATGTCACACTCATTGCTTGTTTCTCTGCCTGCTTTGCTTTGCTGTATGATTTTTATAAGCCAAAAGACAGAGTTCCTTCTTTGGTTTGCTCAGTTCTGCTGACAACTGGCTGTCATTGGCTCCAGTTGGGCTGATCTTACGGTTGATATAAGGCAAATGAAGTATTTGGGAAAGATCCCCTCAAGAGAATCAAGCAAAATGAAGATGCTCTTAGGAGCCTGTTAGGAAGGACTCATCAAATTTGTGTCGTGCTGTGACTGTCATTTCTTGTACCTCAGAAGTCAGTTCCAAGTTGTATCCACCACCAATAAAATGAGGTTGTCTAGGAAAAATCAAAGTGATCGCTTTTCATCCCAAGGACTTGCTTTAGGACGCAAAGGCTGTCATTCACCTCAACAGAACAGATGGGCTGAGGGCTTCTACAGGGACTTGTTTGTTTTTTTCTCTTGGGGAAAAAAAAACAAAAACCAACTGTTTACCATTTCACAAAAGCTTTTTCTTAGCAGTTTATATTGTAAGCATCCTTGTGAATTCAAAAGAAGTGTACCCCAACTGCTTTGGATTTTCTGTGTCATCTGTGCCTTGAGTGCAGCCAGGGATAAGTGTTTGCGCCCAGGTGTGGTGATAGAAGGCAAGAGAAAAGACTGTGGCAATCTGAAAAGAAAGCTCCCAGCGGGAACTGACTTCTGAAGAAGCAAATGCAATTATTAAAGAGTCCCAGGCATGCCTGCTGTCACAAGAAAGGAGTGTCCCAAAGACTGTTCCAAGATACTGCAGTCAGTAGCTATAAAACCCTTATCTCATTCAGTATGAGCAGAAGCCTCTTGTCTCCCTGTCCTATTCCCTTCATCTTCTTCCTCTCCCTCTCTTTTTTGTTTAGATCTCTAGACTTGAACTGTAGACTTCAGTGGTCTGATGATGTTTATAAAGGGAAAATAAATCAAGAAATTTTCTGAGTAAAGTGATACTGCCTTGTGGTACAGTTCACAGCCTGTGGCACAGAGGTTCTTGAGGGTCAGGTACCCTGTTTGTGATCTTAGTTTTTCCTGAATGGCTGCTGTGCTACACCAGCATGAGCTGTATGTGTCTGGAGAGTTTATCTAGGGGACCCTGTATAGATCCCTTATTTGTTTTCGAACATTCTGTTCTTTTCTTTAATGATTTACTGCTGGTTGTAAGCGCTCTGTACTTAAGAGGCTGAAGGGCATTAATCATTCTCTTAAGGCTTATGTGATGAGAGACATGGATGCTGGAATTGCTACCATGGAGAGACAGCTGGATTCTGGCCACTCCTTTTCAGGGTAACTTTGGAGCTCATACCCCTAAAAGGGCTGAAGCCGAAACGTTTTTGTCAACAGCTGGATTGGTACTGAAGGAGAATGCGTGTGTTATGAAACTCTTTGCTAATCATGAGAATATTCCAGCGTAATATGATGTCATCTAAACTTTTGAATTCTTTTGTGTTCTGTCTGTAGGGCCATATTGTGGTAATGTGATGCCTGTCCCCAAAGAAATTATTCTGGACAGCAATGAAGCGACTATTCACTTTGAGAGTGGATCCCATGTGTCAGGACGAGGCTTTCTGTTGTCCTATGCCAGTAGTGATCATCCAGGTAAAGTGAAATCCAGCAGTAGTAAAGGATTAGTGGCACGGTCCCCTGTATTTAATTATCTTCTCTACACACACAGACTTCAGCCCAAATGTTTCATCCTTAAAATTTCCAGATTAGCATGTACCATGATATTTCTGATAGCGTGTGTGCAAGAAGCAGTTGTAACATTAACCGGATGGAATAGCTGCTGAAATCTTACCTACACAATTTGCAATACAGGCCCAGTGCAAGAGAAAATTAGTACCTTTTCCTTGAAGCTCCACTGTATTCTGAGTGCCAGTATCTACCACACAGTGACAGGATGAAGGGATAGGAGAGATTAAGATTTGATTCCTACGGTTAATACTCTGGGGTATGCGTGACTTTGTTGAAGGTGTAAAGCATAAGAAGAGTAGAAGAGGGAGATGGAAAGACTGAAGGGAAACTGTAGCTATTGCTTCCTATTTAAAAAAAATTGTTTTAAGTATTATACAGAGATACCTTTAAGTGTAATTTCATGTTTAGCCAAATATTTGTCAGTATTTCTACATCCTACAATGGGGATTGACATTTATAAACTTTTCACAGATCTAATCACATGTTTGGAAAGAGCTAACCACTACACACAGACTGAATACAGGTAAAGAGTGTTTGCTGCTTTTTGTGTTCTGGCTTGCTTTGCTCCATCTGTCATCTGGTCCAATTGTCAGAAAATGTCATATAAAGCAAGTACAGTCTTGGATTTCTGGAGAAGTGAATTTTTTTTGAGTTCTGATGCTCAAAGGCCTGGTTGTGAGAAGCAGTAGTGCAGACTGGAAGTCTGCAGCGCAGAAAAATGAGGGAATGGAGTTACAGAGCTCTCAGCAGTTCTCGTTAGGACATACATATACATGGTATATGTAAAAAGAGTTTCCACTTTGAAATTCAAAGTAGCCTTAAATTCCAGTGCTTCTCCTGAGAGCAGATCATGTCCTAGCTGATACAAGATTATCTGAGGACAAGCTATAATTTCTTGGTTCCCTGAACTTTGTGATAGGATTTGAAATGGTAATAAATTGTGCTCTTCTGGCTGCTCCCTGGATGTGCATGTAGGTTTCTTATCTGGGCTGTGCTGAAAACTCGCATGGTAGCATTTCTAGAACAAGAGAATTAAACAGAAATGCCCTTGCAAAACTGCTTTTCTGGTTCTTTGCATGCACTTCACTCATCAATGCAAGGGCGCATTTATTTAAACCTCCTAGACTCAGATCGCCAGCCAGAACTTACTGCTAAAATATTTATTGGTTTGAGAGCATTTCTTCTGTACAAGCTCATTTTTGTGTATCATCACTACAGTTCATGTTTTAAGCAAGCTTCTCTTCTCTCCCTACAGCAGATACTGTCCTGCTGGCTGCAGAGACATAGCAGGTGACATTTCTGGGAATATCGAAGAAGGATACAGAGATGTAAGTGCACAGGATAATGAGGGAAAATTTATAAAGACACAACAGAGAAGCATAACACAACTGGGTTTCAACATTTGTCACTTGACTTTTGTCAGCATTTCCTCCCAGCTGTGTTAAATATACCTTTTATTATCAGTATATGAGTATGTTATCAGTATATAAGCACACAGGGACACATTTCAAACAAACCAATCAATTGTGTGAGAGCAAAGTCCATTGATTGTCAAACACACCTACTGACTTGTGGTTTCTGGCTTTCTGGAAAAGCGCCGCATAAGGTTTATGCCTCTCGAGGTAGTGCTTATGGATGTGCTAAATATTCCTACGACTTCAACTTTTACTTGTTTGCAGTCTATGTGCATTTCCCTAGTAGGAAAATAAAATACACTGCCCAATCACCTCCCACTGATAACTACCAACCTCTGGGGTTGTTCTAACTGCTAGTTCTTTAAAGCAAAGAAGTTGCCTGAGTGATTGCATTTACTCACAGTTTGCATAAAACAGTGCTTTGCCTTCTCTGTGCCCCTCACCCTGGACTCTCCTCCTGTCACGGCTGTGAAATCTTTTTGTCTCTCACAATGCAGCAAGTTTAATCATACTACTGAAGTAAAATCCCACCCTATCACAGATGTACCAGCTGCTGAGTCTCCAAAAAGTCAGTGTTCACGTTTAACCTGTTCATCCAGTTATTCAAGCACTCCACTCCAGCCTGGAAAGTGGCAGAGCTGAAGAAACAAAGAAATGCCACTTTACATTCTCATTATCTGGAGTTATGCTTGCCCTTTCTTGGGGTGATTAGAAAGAAAAGCAGCACATGGCATGACCTCATGTAGATCTTATCTGCACTGAGGAATTTTTGAATGAAATTTTCCCTCCGTTGCTGAGAGGGATTCAGCTTTTCTGATGGGAAGAACCTGCAGGATTCTGGAGACCTGCTGCCTTTGTATTCCCCCTCTCCCACCCCTCCCTGGGGGGGGAAACGGGACAGCTTGCCCTGTAGCTTGTCCAGTAGCATAGCCCAAAGTGGGTCTGTGTGAATGAGACTAGTCTCTGCCAGCAGCCCCTGGGAGTGTCTCCTTTGCGCTTTCCGCCGGTCTTTCTCTCCTCTGCCCAAGCCCAGGGGTACGTTATTGCCACCTGATTCCACACAAGTTGTCTTGCCTGTATTTTTCAGCATTACCCACATGAGATGCTGGCAAATGGGCTATACTTAAAACCGAGCTGCAGCTACTCAGCACATAGCCAAATCTCCTAATGTATGTCATGACTCAGATCCTAAGGTGCAATAATAGATAGGTCTGCCTTCAGGCAGGTCCATCAAGTAATTACCATTTTCTCTTTGCAAAGAAGAGTTGCCTTGCCTTTGACTTTGTTTTCCTAAGGAGTGACACAATACTTATTGGATGAAAATCTCACAGCACCTTCTCAGAAGTAGATTATTTGCTTTTTTATTTAGGGGGGAGAGGTGGGGAAAAGGTGACTTTTGGAAACATTTTCCCAAAGATTACTGTTGTTCATCCCTCCCCGCCTCTTACACCTCTTGAGCCTTTGCCAGATTTTATGAGCTCTAACACCTGTGTTCTAGTGGCTTGGAAGTGAAAGGACTAGCCGGTTGTCAGACTGATCCTCTGAGCTTTGGTTTCTGCTGGCTTCTGCCTTTCAGACCTCGCTGCTGTGCAAGTCGGCGATACATGCAGGCGTTATCGCAGACGAGCTGGGCGGGCAGATCAGCGTCACCCAGCAGAAGGGCATCAGCCACTATGAAGGTGTCTTCGCCAACGGCATCCCCTCACATGAGTGAGTACCAGCAAACTGGGGGCCTGGCTCCAGGAGCAGCCCCAGGGGCACAGATCTATGCTCACACCAGCAAAAGCAGATGGGGATGCCTTTTTTAGGAGGAGAAGCTGTTAGGTGTAGGTGTAGGGGCTTTTGGGCTTTGTTCCTATGGATTTATTAAAATAGTGTTGGCATTAGATATCATGGGAAATATCATATAGGCAAATGTTCCAAGTTTTCAGTGGCTCTATACCATGTAGTGTGGTATTTTCTTCTTTCTTCCTTCTGTTCCTTCCAAAACGTACTTGCAAATTACTTTGTTAGCAGATACATGAAAGTACGATGTTCTGCAACAAACACCTTTAATCGATGTGCTAATAAATCATGATAAATTCATGCTAAAGTTTAAAAAAAGCTAGGAAGAGTGAATAAATGAAAAGTGCAGTTGAGCCATAGGGGATTTAACAAACAACTTCTTAAACATTTTGCTTTTGTCATGTTCAGGGTTTTACTCTCTTAGAATATTTATAGCAAGGGTGTTACAGTTACCACTTATCTTCTGACTTCTAATTGCGCTGTTGTTGAAGTAGAAACAAATCCTCTAATCTCTATCCAGCACAGTAAGCCCTTCCAGCAACTGCCTCTGTCACTCCTGTTGGTCTATATTTTTTAGTTTCAAATGTTATCTGGATTTTACATGAGGTGGTCTTTTTTTTTTTTTTTTTTTTTTGTAGGAAGGGAAATCTCAGTCCCATAGCCTGTAACAGCCAAGGGAATGTGTCTTTTTTCTACCTTTTCCTGCTTTGCCCATGATTTCTCCACACACTCCTGACAATTTTACAATCATGGATTCATTCATGAAAAATACCCAACCGAATATTCATCGGGTTTGTTGCTGTGTTTAAACTTCAGCACACATAGAAATGCTTTATATATAACAGCACTGGAGTATAAAAGCTGGGTAGGATGTAGACCACTAGCTGAAGGCCTGTGAAGCCTAAATATTTCCTATTTTTCTTGAAAGCTGATTGCCAAAGAAAATTAATATAAACTTGTCTCAGGCAGAGCAGCACTGAGAGCTCAGCTCAGGCACCAAGTCCCTCCATAAAACAAATAATACAGATTCTTTCCACGACACATGCCAGCGTAGTGAAACCCTAAATTAAATGTTTTGTGCCTTATCTAAAGATGTTACAGAACTATTTACATAGAATGATATGTTCGTGATCCTTGAGAACCCCAGGAGTAACTTGGACAGTAGTGTATAAAATGTTATAATGAAAGGCAGCTGAGATTCCCATTTGTATTTTTTTCACAGTACAAGAGCTAGTGGGCAATGAATTAAGTGTATAAGGCAGCAAATGTACACGTGCTGTACAATTATGCAAACACTGTATAATTAACCCATCACCTTACTGCCAAGTGTCCTTTTAATGTTGCTGTTCACAAGATATCCTATACATTTCACGTGGATAATAGGAGTACCCACGGAGATGCAAACTTTTCTCTGTTACATCAAGTGGGAAAACTCCCATTTCCTTGAAGCAGAGTTGAAACGTGTGCTTCCAGGCTGAAGCCAGCCTCCAGGGCTTGGGTTTAGCCCATTTAACATGAGGCCCCTGAGACAGCACCTTAAGGAGGAGGGCAGCCTCCTCAGCTCTCCTACATACCAGGTGCTCCTCCACCATGATGCACACTTCAAGGGGACTCAGTTGCCCCAAGGACACTTTCTACAGATTACACAGGGAGCCCTAGGTAAACAGGTTCACACTAGGTTGGATGCCTGCAAACTAGATGGCATGGATTTTGAGACAAATGGGAGTATGAACACAGTGCTTCCGGGATGCTTTTGCTGCTCTTGGGAGCTGGGACAACCCTGGGAGCTGATGAACTGCTGGTGTGAGCTCATTATCCCAGGAGAGGGAAATTGGAGGCTGCAGGGGAATCCTTTTATTTTAAACCATGAAAAACTGTTCCTAGAAACAGTGGGCCTGTTTACTAAGAAAATGAACCAATGCATTTCATGCTTTAAAAAGGCTTTTATAAGAGGTATTTCCGAAGCTGCAAGGCTTCCCTGTCCTTGGGGTACCTACACGCTGCAAGAAATTCCTGCTGAGCAGCCAGTGCCAGTGCAGAAAAATTGGTGCTTGAACAGCAGTGATTTAAGAGCTTTTTAGATGCCCTTAAATAAAAGCTTACTCAAGTTTTAAAAATCTCATTTATAGTGGGTTTCAGTATTAAAGATTTAAATTATTTAGTGACTTGAGCTGAAACTGACCTAATCAACGGCTGCTGCTGGAGTGCATCGAGCTGTTAAGTATCTGTGTTGTAATGTGATGGTGGGGTTACAGCTCGCTCCCTCACCAACCCACAAGAGCTGACCTTGACCTCCCTGACTCCATTTTTTCAGTGCCCTTGTTCCGCTCCAGCATCTGTGAGGTTTACAGCTCTTATGATCCATGTGTGGACCTGCACCCACAAATACCATAATGAAGATCAAATGGATGGATTTATTGAGCAGTTTTGATACCCCAGTACAAATATATGAGCGGTTAACTTTGTGATGTGACCTGGCCTGCAACTGTAGTGTGTTCACGTGAAATCATGTGTCTTTGAAAATGCAAGAGACCACATGCTCATAAACTGAAAGATGAGATTCGGGGTTAACCTGCACTGCTTATAAAAAGCTTCCTTGAGACCACTTGGAACAAAATTACACTGACAGAAATTTACTATGGGAAGCAGCATTCTTTTTGTGCAGAGCTGCTGACATAGGGCTCCAGTGCAGTCTTACAGCTGATACTGTGGGTGAAGCAGGATCCTGAATGTTGTCAGGAAAATGAGGAACATGGGGCGAAAACATCCCTTAAAGGACAGAGTGAAATTTGTGTGACAAATGTCACCTGTCACATTAGAAAATTGATGAATTACCACTTACTGAATTAGTTTGTCCTCTTCAGTGACTTGCAGAATTATAGCAGATATATTTCAGCTTGGTTTCTTGGCTTTATAGACTTTAGGAACACTAACCGCCTCTGCAGCCCTCTATATGAAAGGGATCTGGGTAACTTTTTTATTACAAAGCTTTATCTAATAAATAAGTATTTGAGGAGGGCTGTGATTTCTGTTTTGGGTAGGTTTTACTGATTCCCATACGTATTTATTTTCTTTTTGCTTGAAATGGATAGCTTTGCATTCACTAAGAAAGCAAAATTTGTTTTGGCTGTAATGTCAAACTGGTTTGGAGTGAGCAGAGCACATCTGATTGCCTCTGAGGATCGCCTGGGGAGGTAGATGTGGGAGGGAGGGCTTGAGTTTTTCCTTCTAGCTACTCTACCGCATACATGCCCAAATAAATCAGCTCCCTCCCAGTGCTCTCCATCATCTCTGAAGGGCTTCGTTTGCCTGTAGTCATTAGTTTTCCCTCAGTGACAAAAAGAGATAGTGTTTTTATTGACCTTGACATGGGACCACTTTCCTATTCCCCATTTGCAGTGCTCTCAAAACATACAGCCATGCCCACAACTGTTAGCCTGCAGACAGTACCTTGGGGGAAATTTTCCTGGCCAACAACAAAGAGCAGCTTGAAAAGGAGCTGTCTTGACACTTAAGTGCAGAAGTTGTTTTCCTGCTCAGTCATGCTGGCCATGGCTTTTCAAAAGGGGCAAGTGATGTGTGCAGATAATCAAAGTGACATTGAAGGGGTCAGATTTTCCTGAAATTCAAACAAATTTCATGTTTAAACCTGGGCTTTTATTTTTATTAGGCAGACAGACAGTCATCACTTCTAGAATGAAACCTCAGGGGCATTTATTTCACTGGAAATCAGAAAGCTGCTTGTTGGGAGGCCAAGGAAAGCTCAGCTTTCCCTTACCGTTGTGATTTTATCTGCATTGTGCAAGGTTGTATGGAGTGACCTAGGAAATGGCTTTTCTCCTGAAACAAAGCAGTCCATGTCAGGAGGAGGAAGAAAAGGGGAGCCATAGATGTGGTTCTGTTAATGGAGCAAAATAAACCATTCCTGATAGGAGCTGTTGGTCATGGTTCTAACAGAACTGGTTCCCATATGGGTTAAAACAAGGAGTAGTTTTCATTCAGTCTGGCTGTAATACACCTGTATCTCAACTAGGAATGAGTTGGCATGGTTTAGTCACCATCACGTGTAACTCTTTCACAGTGCTTGATGCTGGGTTTTCTTCAAAATAGAAGTTGACTTAGACTAATAGAGAGTCATTGGCTTCAGTGAAGTTGTTCCAATTTAATGCAAGTGAGAAGAGACCCGGGCCCGGTAGCTCCAGGCCCTCTTAAGCTTCCCCAATCCTGGCTCTTTTGAATGCTCTTATATTGCTGGTCTGAGGAGCAGAAGGGGAAAGCTTACCCACAGCAGTACAGGGCCTGTGCAGAGGAGAAAAGCAAAAGTATACAGCAAGAGTAACAGGCTGATGGGATGGGGGGTCACTTTAAAACATAACAAATGCTCCAAACCATGAGAAAAATGATCTGAATTCAGTCACGCTGGGAGATGCACTAAAGTGTTCTTACTGGGTTGGTAGGCAGCCAACAAAGTAAGTCATTAGCTGGTCAGAAATATTTTGCTGGATAAACAGTGATCCTGAAACTGTACCTCGGCATTCCTGTAACTGCATCCTGAAAGGCTGAATTACCTTTTTCCTTTCTTACAGTGGGTCACTGTCAGATAAGCGGTTTATGTTTACTTCAAATGGTAAGAATAATGGCTTTATTTTTAGTTATTCAAATTTTACCGTCTTATTTAAGTATTTTCTATAGAAGATTTGAAAAGTAATCAGGAGAATGCCAGGCTGTGTCTAGGAGGGATATTTTAGGGCAGCAATCTTTTAAAACTGGCAAGTGAATAAAAAAATTGAAGGGATATGAAGTGAGCTAGGAAAAAAACAACATAGAATAGGAATAGGTCATATGTACATAGGCAAGAAACAGAAATAGTATTCTGCTGTTAGATTTCTGGTGCCAGCATATGAAAAATGGCAATCAGATAATCCCATTTTTATGTATTTCAGGCAGCAGAAAATGAAAGCAGTTTTTCGTCAGACATTTATAAACTCCATCTTCGTTATACAAGAAGAGAACGAAAACATAGGAGGAATGAAAATATATTTACATTGCACTGATACAGAACGAGTTTTTGTTTATGACTTTCCAAGATGCAAAAGCTTCTTTAAACTGTCAAGCTGTTCATTTGCATAAAACATAGCGAAGAAGGGGAAAAAGTTCACACTCGTTCATTTGAATTATATTTCAGTCATCTGAGATAAAATCATTTACTATTCCACTGAAAACTGTAAAGCATGTACAGGCCTTTGAAACTGCCAGGGAATTATTTTTAACTTCATTGAAACCTTATTCCACTGGCCTGTTTTCTCTGAAGAACCTTGATGTGCAGAAATGTTGTGGGTTCTTTGGTGGAGTTTGTAATACTTACCTGCAGCTATTATCCTCATGATATCACCTCCTGGCAGCAGTATCAAGGAGCTTCTCTGATGAGTAACTTTCCTAGCCCTAATTGCAGGTGAGAATCATGAAATATTTACAGTAAAGTGCTCTTTTCGGTACAGTGCCTTCATCTGAGAAACATTTTGTACAGCAAAATTAGTTAATGCCAATCTCTAAACATAAATATTGTTTCAGAAGAAAAAAAAAACAAGAAATCTTCAGAGGAATGAGAAAAAAAACTGTAGGGATTAAAAGCAAAATGGCAAAAACAGCAGATGTAGTCAGGAGGAGTCATCTATGTAGGAGTTAAATTGGTAAAGGAGTGGGCCTGCAGCACTCTGGTACTGGATCATCCACTACAAATTGACTGGCAAACACACAGCTAATGGATAGCATCAGGCTAGCGCTAGATTAAGCAACATCTGACTTTGCTGTTGTGGGTGGTCTTCATATGTTGCTAGCCTAACATAAAAATAAGCTGTGAAAATGCAAAATAACTCCTTCGGCCTGTCTGTCTGGGGACTTCTAGGCTGCAACAAATCTCTCAGTCTGGAAGAGGGATTCCTCTCTAAGAGCCAGATTACTGCATCTTCCTACTGGGAGGACAGCAATGAATTTGGGCAGCTATTCCAGTGGTCTCCTGACAAGGCTTGGCTTCAAGTCCCGGGATTGGCTTGGGCCTCTAACCACAGCAGCAATCGTGAATGGCTGGAGATAGACCTTGGAGAGAAGAAGAGAATAACAGGTATGCTATTGTCACTGTCTGATTATTAGAAGCTGGGGTTTCAGCTGGAGGGGAAACTGAATGCAGCTGAAAAGCTAATAATGCAATGTTTCTTTCATTAAATTTAATGAAATGATCTACATTGAGGAATATCATTTTCCTATTAAAAAAAAAAAAATCATGGCTATTTACAAGACTGGTCTTCCTATAGGGAGATAGGATTGAACTTAACTGTCATGTGTGTCTGGTCTGTAAACATGCTGTTAGGCTCAGAACAAGATACTTAACGCAGGGACCAGCAGAGTCTGGATGGATGATAAATGATAAAGTCATAGCCTTTGAAACAATGGCCCAATGAAAGAAATTCCTGTTTCCATCTCCTGGTTTATTAAAAATGTAAATTACAGTTCCTGCTAAAGATATAAAGACTGCTGATAATCACAGAATCATAGAATCATAGAATAGTTCGGGTTGGAAAGGACCTTAAGATCATCTATTTCCACCCCCCCTGCCATGGGCAGGGGCACCTTACGCTAAATCATATCACCCAAGACCTCATCCAACCTGGCCTTGAACACCACCAGGGATGGAGCATTCACAACCTCCCTGGGCAACCTATTCCAGTGCCTCACCACCCTAACAGGAAAGAATTTCCTTCTTATATCCAACCTAAACTTCCCCTCTTTAAGTTTTAACCCATTACCCCTTGTCCTGTCACTACAGTCCCTAATGAAGAGTCCCTCCCCAGCACCCCTATAGCCCCCCTTCAGATACTGGAAGGCTGCTATGAGGTCTCCATGCAGCCTTCTCTTCTCCAGGCTGAACAGCCCCAACTTCCTCAGCCTGTCTTCATACGGGAGGTGTTCCAGTCCCCTGATCATCCTCGTGGCCCTTCTCTGGACTTGTTCCAACAGTTCCATGTCCTTTTTATGTTGAGGACACCAGAACTGCACACAATACTCCAAGTGAGGTCTCACAAGAGCAGAGTAGAGGGGCAGGATCACCTCCTTCGACCTGCTAGTCACGCTCCTTTTGATGCAGCCCAGGATACGGTTGGCTTTCTGGGCTGCAAGCGCACACTGAAACCAGCTCATGTTCATTTTCTCATCAACCAACACCCCCAAGTCCTTCTCCGCAGGGCTGCTCTGAATCTCTTCTCTGCCCAACCTGCAGCTGTGCCTGGGATTGCTCTGACCCAGGTGTAGGACCTTGCACTTGGCATGGTTAAACTTCATGAGGTTGGCATCAGCCCACCTCACAAGCGTGTCAAGGTCCCTCTGGATGGCATTCCTTCTCTCCAGCGTATCAACCGAACCACACAGCTTGGTGTCATCGGCAAACTTGCTGAGGGCGCACTCAATCCCACTGTCCATGTCAGCGACGAAGATGTTAAACAAGACCGGTCCCAACACCGATCCGAGGGACACCACTCGTTACTCGTCTCGAGCCGGACATTGAACCATTGACCACAACTCTTTGTGTGCGGCCATCCAGCCAGTTCTTTATCCACCCAGTGGTCCATCCATCAAATTGACGTCGCACCAATTTAGAGACAAGGATGTCGTGTGGGATAAGGACTGTAACATCAAAAAGCAATTACCATTTTTTTGAGTCATTAATTTGGACTCTGTTAAAAATTCCATTGCTGTAAATTCTCAATTTAGAAGTTATTTCCATTCTTTTCCCAATTTTTAAATTCAATTTTAACATGGTTTGAAATGTAAATTAAGACTTTGTAGGCCAAGTTCTCTGAACTGTTTTGGCCTCTCTATTTGCATTTAAAAATGTTCCTTTAAAACACACACCTAACAAATGAAAATGTATTTTGCATTTTATTAAAAGGGATTAAGACCACTGGTTCTGGATACATGACGTTGAATTTCAACTTCTACATAAAGACATTTACAATGAACTACAGAAATAACAACTCAAAATGGAGAACCTACAAAGGGATTCTGAGCAATGAAGAAAAGGTAAGGGAAAGTGGGAGGGGTAGGAAAATACAGAGCAATAACGTGCATGCTGCTTTGACACTGAAGGGCAGGCGTTCACTGTCAAGAAAGATTAGGAGTTTCAGACTTGTCTAGACTTGGGTTGTCTTCACCACTGTAATTTACGGCCACAGAGTAGATAGTGAGCTTGTCATAACAAGGAAATTATCCAGAGCTTGCTGAAGTTGTGAGACACACACAGCGAGGCATGTGTACGTCTGTATCGTCCTCTTAAAAGAATGGTGTAATTAAAGATGTACAACAGGCTGTTTGGGCAAGTCTTTAGCTCAGCTCAGCACTTGCCTAAGCTGGTAACACTGTACCAATGCAGAAGCATTGGTTAGTATGGCACCAGCAAAGCTGAGATTCAGGTTTAGATCCACCAGGATGGTCAGCCTACCCCCTCCACACACATGCAAAACAACTGACTCCGGTAAAAACACAATGCTGCTGTGGAGCTGTGCCTGTGGGCCAAGCTTCTGCTCAGGCTGTGCTATGATCACCAGGGCTCTCTGCCCCTTGCTGGCAGCGCTCTGCTGACACAAGTGGGCACAGCCTGCCTCTGTTAGGAGGAACTGATGGAGCTGAATGTAAAATAAATGTTTTTACACCAGGATACCTGTCCACACAACAGCTTTCACGGACTCTAAGCGACTTTAGCAATGAACAGATAAAAGCAGTGCACCTAGCTCCTGCAGACAGTGGATGTGGTGCACAGGTTTGTCTGATAACTTTTTCCCTGAAAACCTCATGTTTCCTTTCAAACAAAAAAACACCCAACAAAAGCCCCCCTCCTTGCCCCACAGGGTTCAGTCAGACCTTCACTCATCAGTTCTGAGGGAGCTCAGCACAATATGGCTCTACCTGGTCCTCAGTCCTGATGGCAGTTTAGAAAACTTGGTGGAGCTGTAGAGAGATTTCCTACCAGCTCTGATTTTCTCAGCTTGTATAGCAGGAATTTCACTGTGCAATGTTAAATAGTTTAATATTTTTTAAATGTTAAACTAAGCAGGTGTTGGCCTCAAAAGTAACAAAACAACCTAGCAGTGGCTGAACTGTGGATGCTAGCTATTGAAAATATGCAGGCTTGCAGTTTTCTACAATGACTTGTCATATACAAACAATCCTATGAAAGTATTATATATGATCTTAGTTTCAGCTAAGGCACATGAGAAAAACCTGTCCCTTCAGAGCCCCATGTGGCCTGACATTTTATCTTAAGATATGCTGAGTTCACTTCCCTATCTCATCAGGCTTTTTAGTTTTCCTCAATCATGCTGAAGCATCTCCAAGAACTAATTTTGCTAGGACTACTGTTCTGCACATGGGCTGTGCTGATTCTAGGGAATACTGTATAAATGCAGGGAAAAGAAGACACAAATGCGTAGTTAACAGTCACTCTTCAAACTTGATACAGAAAACTGACCATTTTACTAAAATATCTAGAAATATTTCACTTAAATTTTGCCTTTTTATATTTTTATCCCATTGCCCAAGTAGGGGCAACAGTACTGTTGTACAGTACAGTATAACAGTCTGCAGTACTATTAAATAAAAAATGATAGCATTATTATACCAGCATATATTAACTAGAAATTACATAGAACTGAAAAAGAGTGATAGTCTTTCTTCTCTGAGCTAACAGAAAAATGTCATCATCTGTCAGAACTAAAAAAGATTATTTCTTTCCAGAACTCTCAATTCCAAATATCCACATTATCACTATATTAGTTTTAGAATAATGAAAACCTTTGAAGTTGGATGTCAAGAGCACTTTGAAGAGAGAGACTTAAACCAGAGCAAACAAACTGTTTATGCTTTGTTGCAGATATTCCAAGGCAACTCCAACTCCGGTGATGTAGTACGCAATAACTTCATCCCTCCAATAGTGGCCCGTTACGTGCGAATTATCCCTCAAACTTGGAACCAAAGAATAGCATTGAAGCTCGAGCTGATGGGTTGTCGAATTATGCAAGGTATGGGGTAAGCATTGCTCCCCAGGGTCCCATGGTGCCTCCAAAGGCCCCTGTGCTACCACAGTGCCACTGATGTGCCCTTCTCTTTTGCAGCTAATAGTTCATTTACACATTCAATGTGGCAGAAGCCAAGTCAGAGCACAGAAGCCTCCCTTGGAAAAGAGGACAGGACTGTAACAGAGCCCATCCCATCAGAAGAAACTAACTTAGGTAAGACGACCTAGTGCTGCATTTTCTCTAGGATGCATCACATCTTCAGCCCAGCCTGAGTGAACTTTAAACTTTCTCACAAATCAGAACTTTTCCCTTCAGACTTGATTAAAGGTTAATGACAGAGAGGAGAGGGAGAAGCATAGGTTCTTTTTGTCTTAAGGCATGAAAAGATATTGATGTGTGAAACAGCCAGCTTTTGTTTCCCTGCCATATGGTTTATTTGCTGTGCTTGGTAGGTGGTTCAAGGGACTATACTGAGCACTCAGTAGTTTTGTGGATCCCCACTCTCTTCCTGGATTTTGTAACTTTTGTATACGTAAGGCAGTGGTCTCAAAATATGTTACCTTCTCTCTACACAACCATGACTTTTTATAGAGCAGGTCACCAGCTCTAAGTAGTGTAGAGTAGTGCACGGCTGTGTAATTAAACACTTTCCCATAATGCTTGTGCTCATGGGGACTCAAGACAACCATAATTCATATACTTCTTCCTATATTCGAGTCTTCATATTGTAATGTTGTAGAGGTAACTTCTCAGATTTAAAAGGAAACAAACAAAACTTGCTGCTTATACTGACTGTTTGGAGGACCCGTAGCCAGGAAGGAATTACCAGACCCAGTGCACCAAGCACTGCTACCCATTAGGCAGCTGATAATTGTAGAAAGAAGCAATCACAGTAAGAAAAAAAGCTCTTCTGAAAGTGCACTGCTCTGACTAAGAGCAATGTTCATCTGTGCAACGATGTGGGTAGATTGTATCCGTGTTCACTGAAAATGAAATCTACTGAGATTTCATCTGCTAAATTGTAAATACCCTGTGGACATGTGTACTACCCTATTCTAACAGCCTGATAAGTGTCTGTAGGAATAGCAGGAGGCGCACTCCTGACAGAAGAGCCATCCCACTGCTAGTTCTCAAATCCCTGCCCTAAACCATGTTGTGTTAGAATTTACCAGAAGCTAAACAGATTTTTCCCTAGCTCTACTCCAGGAAATCTTTGAACTATTTTGACTGAAACATTTCAACCAGTTCAGCACGAGCCAGATACTCAGCATATAAAATTGCAGCCTCATTTGACAGTTTCATAAGCAACAGAAAACAAAGTGTGTGTAAGTGGCTTTTGAAAGTTACCTAGCGTGTAATAAGAAAGAACTGCTCTTTGTAAGGATGCATATAGATGTTAAGTCAAGTGTCAGCCTTGACAAAGTATGTTTAAGTCTTCCTCTCAACACTGTTCCACATAGGTCCATGGCAATGAAGTATGGCTGAGGAGTGGTTTTGCAGTTTTCTAGTTTTACATTTTCATGCTCTCTTGCATGGAGTGTTCCTGCAAGATTACCTGTGTTTTGCTGTATTCTCTGTAGTAAAAATCACCAGCTTCAGAGTAATTTGGCTTTTAAACTTTTATCCTTTTTTTTTTCCCTTATGCAGGCTTGAAGCTTACCGCTATAATTGTCCCCATCCTCATCGTGCTGTGTCTGTTCCTGTTCTCTGGAATTTGTATCTGTGCAGCCCTACGCAAGTAAGATACTGGCTTTTGTCATTGGAGGCATTTGTGGTTGCTTAGCTAGTGTGTCCAACTACGTGCCCTCTTTCCAGAGCCTCTTTTCCAGGGAGCTGGAAATCGATCCTGTTCTGCAGTCTTCCTTTTAAATAGAACTCATGTCTTGTCTCTGTAAATTGTATTCTTTTTGTACATCTCCCCTAGTCAGACAAAAATGAAGGTAAAGCGGGTCAGAACTGCATACCCCAATTTACAGTTCAATGTAACCAGTAACTGTTTTCTTCAGCCTACAGGTACCCACAAATACTGAGGTGTAAAGCAATCTAAAACAGATTAGTTTCCACATAAAAGCCAAGTAAAAATTCAGTGAAGGGAGGATTTGAGCTGTCTATCTGGATCATTTTCTTTTATTTCCCTCCTGTTATGTTTCTGCTTCCTAGTCCCTTAAGTTAGAGCACTTAATCTAGCAGGCTGAAAGCTGAGCCCAGCTATAAGGAGTTGCACACGTACACTGGCAAGCAGCTAAACCCATTTCACAAGCCAGAGGAGTGGAAGAAGCACTGTTAGCTTTGATTCCTGCTAGACGTCCATTCATATGAACCTCCACTTACATGCAGAGCCAGGAAGTGCTTCTGTGAGCAGATGGGGATTTGAAGTATAAGCAATACCCTCGTGAAGTTGCTTCATCAGTAGCAGCACCCAGCTCTGCCCTGGATTGCCGGTAAATCCCTAAACTAGCCAAAGAATTCAGAAGAGCAGACCCAAAACTTACCCTGGAGTGACACATATAGACATGGACACACCAAATTGATGAGTGCCAGACACAAGAAATTTGAACACTGGCACTCACAACTTGCATATAGATGGGGGAAACCAAAATGTCAAAGCACTGGTTTGTGCTCCTTACATTCTAGTAAACACCAGCCTCCAGGAACTCAGTGAAGTGTTGTCCTCAGCAGCTAAACCCAAAGGCACTCTCTGATGGAGCTAGGGCATGAAGCTGAAACGCTGTGAGTGCCCATGTTTATAAATGCTTTCCTCTCCTCACAGGCGAGAAGCCAAGGGACTTTCTTATGGATTATCCAGTGCTCAGAAATCAGGTTAGTGGAGAATCCTGCGCTGTGTCCTGTCCATTTGGCCTATGGGAAGGGGTTTATGCAACTGAGCATGAAATGCTTATGAAATAGTATCCACGTTTCCTTGTTCAAATTCACCTTTTCATACAAGGGAAGCAGCAAGCAGTAGTCCCACTTGTGTCATCCTAGCACTGTGCCCTGAGAAACAATATAATTTGGTTTCTATGACAGAAAGGCAATTAGCAAAAGATCTATTATACAAAGTGCATGAATTAGCATCTAAGAGTGCTCCCAGGTGCCCTTCCTTTCCTTCCCTCCTCCAAAATACCTGTTTTGCAGAAAATTGCCTCTTTCCTTTTCCCCACATCATAGGGGATTGCCTTTTTCCAAGAAAGGAAGAGCTAATAATTTTTTTATGGCTTTAATATTTCCATCTCACTGCCCTCCCTGGTTGGGACTGTATTTATGAAGCCTAACAACACTGAATTGTACTTCATGTGTAAAATCTGAATAGGGGATTGGCTTGAGGACTATGCTTTAGGAGATGCTTACAAAGCCCTAGTGAAGTTTATTCTTTGTCTTGCTCAATAACGTTTTCTAGAGCAGTCTCCTGTCACCTTGGAAGCTGGGGTTTAGCTGTTGCTCCTGGCCAGCCAGCTCTGTAGAGGAATATCTTCCTAAATCTCAGCTTTCCATAAGAAAAGAAAACCACTAAGCAATTCACATCTCTCTTGACAAGTGCCTCACAGTAGCTCAGCTCTGAAATTTCATCCCTCATCAGGTGCTGACGTCAGTGAAAGGAATGCTGTTACCCACTGCAGCTCGCCCTCATTAGAAAATTAATTTGTACTTAACATCATATTTCCTAATATGATTTTTCAAGGTCACATCATAATCCTTTTTCACTTGCTAATGAGGACAAATCCCAAGAAAATGGAGATAGCCTCTTACCCAGTCAGTTCATTTTTTGCAAATGTGCTTCACAAATGAAGCTCCTAAGCCCTTGTGGACCAGGCTTGGGACTTAGACAGCTGGAAGCCAAACCCACCTCTCCACAGACCTCCTGCCGCAGGCTCCAGGCAAGTGCCTGACACTGTAGATTTTTGATTTTGTGTCTCACAAGGGTGTTGTGAGAACAAATTAATTGTTGAGTGCAGGTGCTCAAGGAAATGGAAATGGAAATCAAGGAAATGGAAGCAATGCTACTTTACCGGATAAAGAAAAAAAAGAATTTTTAAGCACTATTTTTGCCACCTAAGCAATGGCAAAACATTTAACTTATTTCAAGGCTGATACCTACACCTACAGAGTTTTAGCCCTTCTTGCCAAGAAAATCCTCTATAAAGTTTTGTTTTCACTTGGAAATCTCATTTGATGATTCACTTTCTCCCTTTCAATTTAGGTGGATTTTTTTTTTTTTTTTTTTTTTACAAACTGCCCATTTTAGTCTTGCTTTTTAACTACTTTTATATACTGACACCAAAAATTAAACTTTCTGAGAAGTCTTTTGATTGTAAGCCTTTAACTTGCTGATAAACCTTCTATTTTTATTTCTTTATCACAGGTTGTTGGAAACAAATCAAGCAGCCCTTCACCAGACATCAGTCAACTGAATTTACCATCAGCTATAATAATGAGAAGGAGACACCACAAAAACTAGATCTGGTCACCAGTGACATGGCAGGTAACAACTGCTTGCCTGTGATGCACTCATTTTGCTCTGCGTGCAGAGCAGATAATAGGGGGATGGACACGCCAGCAATATTACAAGCTCCAGCTCTCATGCAAGCTGAGGCCCAGGAACAGATTTATCTGTATTCATCCCAGACATATAGTGAAGCAGCTAAATATATTAGGAGGAAAAAGACCACTATTTTGGAAATGTCTATCTTGGAGTTGTTGGGAAAGACTTTATGACTGAAACAGTTACAGCTGAAGGTAATGATGGAAGGCACTCAGGCATGGATGCAGTGCAACAATACACCTAGGATAGGGTAGTTTGTCTCTGCTGACTAATTTTTGTGTCTCAGTTTAAATAAAAATGTCTCTGGGAATTGAACAACATATAATGCCCCTTGCCACTGGGCAAATACAACAATTACTTGGCTGGTTTGTGGGTGGGACTTCATGCCCAGCTGGAAGTTGTGCTGAGTGAGATCCCTGTGCAGCCTTCCTGGTGCCTTCACTATTTTGGAGATCAGGCCTCCTAAAGTGGCAGCAGGTAGATGAAGGAGAAAGAAAAAAACACCACAGTGCTTCTCTCCTGTTCTACCTTGGCTCCAGATCACTGTTTGGACAGAGCAAATCCCCACATTAATACTATTTGCATCCCAAAGGGATGACTTCTTTCATTCATCCTCTTAGCACATCTTATCCCTGCCTAGTTTAGTCTGCCTGGAAGGGCTAGTGAGACCAGCCATTTCATGGGATCAGTGATTAGCAATCTTCCAGAAAGATAAATTTGCTGTTTCCGGCCTCTAGACCTTAGAAATTCCTTAGAATTCCTCCAATGCATTTGGCAGAGAAATACATTTGAAAAACAAGTAGATGGTTACTGTAATTCCATATGGTGCTACCCTTGATATCTTTCAAAGACAGTTTCAATCCTTTGCAGAAACTTTCAGTATAAATATGCAGAGACCTATAAAGCAGTTTTATTTCATGAAGGAAAGGGAGTGAATAAACGTTACTCACAAATTATGATTATCTGGCTCCCCTGGCCATGTTTGGGGAGCCTCTGCTCTCTCCATCCTCCCATACCGCCACGTTTGTGGCAAGTCTTAACTCTCGCAGCTCCCCAGACTTAGCATTTCACCTACAGTCTCCTTAAAAATAAGAAACATGAAATTAAGACGTGAATGCAGCCCAGAAATTCGCCATTTAATTAATTGCAGAGAGCACACAACTTGCATATAGATTAACATGCTGCATGAAATCCCCTCCCATCAAATCCCTGGCTGCCTGCTGGTTCCCAAAGTGGAGATGCTCCATCCTGAGAGAGAGAGATTGCTGGGGATGGTGACAGCGACGCCAGGAAGAGCTGCAGCACTTAGTGAAATATCATAACACCTTCACCCTACATGCTGAAGTTTGGGATGTAGCCAGGAACTGCCAAAAAGATTCACAGGACATATGGGATCGAATTCGACGCTCATGTCAGATGAGCCACGATGCCAGAACAGAAACTGAGCTAAATTCTTCACGCCTGCATCAAAACATGATACTTTAGCAGTGCCACTTACTAGAGCTGTTCAGGCCACCGTATGTATCTGTAAGAGACTATCACTAGCACCAAAGCGAGAAAGTTGGAACACTGAATTTCCTCATAATAGTTATGGCTGGATTTTTTGAAAACCCTTTTAGTCCAGATCTCCTCCTTACACAGCAGCCTGGCATCTGCCTTGACTACAGGTGTAAACACATGCTTCTTGAGGCTGCAATTCCTCCATCCCGCTCCTTGCTCCTGCTTGTGCCGTTGCTCATCCCCTGGTCTGTTCCCCTTGACCGGGGCGATCCCAGTTCCTCTGGCAGTGCCAGTCCCACTTCTCTTTCTATGGCTCATCCCCCTTGTGTGCCTGCAGCAGTGCAGAGCTGGCTTAGTGTGTTTCACACTTCCCTTGACTCTCTTGGCTGACGTTCTGCCTAGCTTCATCCTTCTTGTCAGTCAGCTACTGCAAAATGCCTTTTAAAAAAAGCCAGCACTTGGTCAGGCTCTTTCAGAATCCTCGGGGCATTCTAATTATTTCGGAAGTGGAACACTTGCTTTGGAGAACTTCTCATTTGTGGATCTTCGGGCAATGTCCTTTTCTCCAGTTTGTTGCTAATGTTTCATTGACTTATATCTTGGGTTTTAGGGCTTTTGAGTATACTCCAGAAATGATGTTAATTTATTTGGGTGGGTAGGTGGGGAAAGGGAGGGAGGGAGTAAGAAAAGGGGTTGCTTGCTTGCTGAAGAGGGTTATAGGGCCAGCACTGGGGAAAGGTTTTCTCACATTCTTAATCACCTTGTGTTTGATACAATCAGAGTCATTTTTCAATATAAAATACATATCTATGCATAAGTATTGTGTACCTAAAATAACCAGTCTATGCCTTATTGAGCAGTTCATGCTTCCTTTTAGATTATCAGCAGCCTCTCATGATCGGGACTGGGACGGTGACACGGAAAGGATCTACTTTTCGACCCATGGACTCTAAAGATGAGGGAAGAAGGGGGAGTTTAGAGTTCGAAAATCACTACCACTGTCCAAACAGAGCTAACCGGCATGAATATGCCCTGCCACTGACCAGCCAAGAGCCTGAATATGCCACCCCCATCATAGAGAGGCACATTACAAGAGAGAATAACTTCCCTTCTGAAAACGGCTACAACATACCTGTAATCTCATCTCAGATACATGCGCTTTCTGCTGGCAGCTTCTCTAGTTCATGTAAGACCGAAACCATGAATGGAGACTATCAGACACCCCAGAGTGTCATAAGCTACGACAAACCCAAAGTTAACGGTGTTCTGACCTCTGTGAGCTACAGCACGGACTACCAGAAACCTCAGCCGAATGCCCTCGGGAGCGAGGGTTACTCGACACCCAGAGACTGCCTAAAGCCAATAAGCCAGACAGCAATGACAGCTCTCTTGTGATCTGCCGGAGCAGGAGAGACACTGAGCGCAGGAACGTCACCGCACAGCTTTCTGAAGCGAAAACAGAGTTTGGAAGGACTCTGCTGCGGGAGGCAGAAGGCAAACAAGCCCCTGTGTACATAATATTGCAGTCTTGCTGGGTTCTGACATCTGAAGAAAGCATATGCTGTTTATCACTGTTTATAGCAAGAGAGATGTTATCAGTGAAGACTGTACATCTTATTTTCTGTAACTGATCTCAGTGCTCCACTTGCAATGTGTGCAATTTGTACATAGCTTTTATTTAAGGAGAATTTCTTAAGTTTCCTTTTCACCTGGGAGATTGAAAGAACTGCAGAAATACCTATTTAAGGAAAACAGTCCTCCTTCTCCGTCTTTGTTTTACCTGCTGTTGGCAGCTGTAAATGGTGTATCTTATGGTTGTGGTGATTCATCTCCTTTCTTAAAACTGACGATAGTGCATCACTGTAGTTCTTACTGGGAAAGTAAAAGAAGCAAAACTACTTAAAGCATAATGTGCACAAGAGAAGGCAGCTGAGCATTTAAATTACATGCTCAAACCCACCTTCCTGGCTGCTTTTTTAGCAGCAGTTCTTACATGCTTGAATTTGATCTGTTGTATGACCTGAGCCCGTCTAACTTGCTGTTCATGATAGAAACAGATAGAAAGGCTGAAACCAGTTCTGGGTTCAAGCCAAGGTGATCACTCTGCAATAGAAAAACAAACAAACAACAAACCCAACACCTGTGAGTCTGGGGTTTGGGTTTTTTTCTTCAGGAAGTGTGTGTGGAACCAAAATTTGAATTTGCAGCTGGGAATTAAATCCTGTTCAAGTCCTAGCTGATGCTTTTGCTGCTAAACTAAAAGGAAATCTGTTCCTTGGCACAAAGCAGGAAACTTCCTGAACTCCTCATTGCTCCAGTATTTGTCTTACAAATTTCTATTTGAAATATTTTGACGAAGTAAAACATGGTGTGTGTATGGCTTGGCTTGCTGCGGCAGTTAAATTTGCAAGACAGCAGATCAGCACAGTTGTGTTAAAATAGTTTTTCTTTTGCAGCTAATGCTACCCTTAATTCTGGTTTTGGACAAACTTGAAAAAGCACAGGGATGGGTGCAATGTATTATATAGTAGCTGGCTTCTCTTTCAGCAGAGGCGTCATTGAAGCGAAACAGCTTCTAGTAGCAACTGGGACTGTCGGCTGCCCTTCTACCTGCAGTGCTTGGAGCGTCACTTTGGATTCGAAAGATTATCCTAAATTGTCTTCTTGAGAAGAAGAACGGTGCTATATTGAAAGCACAAGGTTGTGAAATGAGACTAGTAAAACCTGAGCTCTTCAAAAGTTGCTATCTGAAGGCTCTCCGTTTCCTTGCACATAAATGTGGGATAATTTGCAAAGGATGCAGCAAAGATCTGTAGTCTGTTCTCAGTGTGCTTTCAGATCCTCGGGTGGAAAAGTGCTGTCAGAGTACAGACTAGTTGCAGTGGTACTACTCACAAATATTGCTAAATCCAGCCATACCTGACCTTAAGGCAAGCTCTCAGTGAGTTCTTTCCATATGCTTGTTTTGTGGCCATTCCCTCGTGTTGCCACACCATGCATGCGATTCCCATGCAAAGAAGAAAGTGTCAAGGTAACCTCGTAGCCTTCCTGTGTTTGCTGTCAATACAGTTTCTGTGAAATGTCTAAAACACCTCAGGTCCTGAAGCGAAACAGCAGCAGCCTGTTTGTTAGACCGAGCTGGGCAGTGTTGTTTACCTTCTGTTGTTTACATGTCTGTGTAAATAAAGAACACTGGTATTTGTAAATCAGTCACACAGGCCTGCTGCTTAACTCAGTGCACTTGATCATCTCTGTGCACCCTATCGTCACATATCCCATGGGGTGAGAAAGAAGCGTTCCTTACGCTCTGCAAAAGCATCAGTTGCACTGCTGCAATTCACGGTCCCAGTGTGACAGGCTAAAAAAAGATCCTTACAGTGCCCCATTTAGCTTGGCTCTTCTGTCCATAAGCTCTGAAGAAGAAGCAACTGCAAACAGCACTGCTGCTGGATTCATATAATTGAGGGAAGGATGAGGGTGCCCTCCTGATGAGCCTGAAACCAATACTCTACCCACACTGCAAATTAGACTGGCTCGTCACCTGACAAACAAGCTGGACTCAGTAATCAGGGCTACTCCCCACTTAATGAGGCACCTAGGTAATGCAGCAGTGCAACAGCACCAGCCACAGATGACACTGCTTGTAGTATAACAAACTTTTTCATGCCTCTGCCACAGCAGCATGCTACAAGTGTCGAAAGGGTTCTTGGTAGCATGTGCCCATTTCTGCCACCATTTAAATCCATCTTAACACAGTTGGTTTAGCCTAATGAAAAGCTGGATTTCAGTTTGCATCTTGCCTTCATCTCCATTCCCCTCACAAAATCCTGCAAAACAATGGCTTAAAATGAATCTCCAAACATCTCCATCCTCCTTGTGTCACAGTAGCTTGGTGCTGACAGGCACAGAAGCAAGCACAGCAGCTCTGTAGTTGATCACAGCTCACCATATCACTGCCGTGGTGCTTCACGGTTCACTTCTGAGTGACTGCGGAGGGCAGTTAACACAAAAAGCCTTGGGCTTTTCCACCTCGGCCTGAGAAATAGGGAGCTTCTAGTGACCCTTGCAGCAGGTATGCAAGGGAACTTCCTACCTGTGCAGACTCTCTGTCCTAATGGTGGTGGAGATACTAAATGCTGGTGTAGGAAGGAAGGGGGACTGCCTCAATCTTCCCAGTGGTAGTGCTTATCGTTGTGCTCATCCTCTGAGCAGTTTCTCACATACCGGTACCTCAGACTCCAGCCTGTCTACATTAGCCTGTTCTCACCATCAAAACCAGTCACAGAATTAACACAGGCAGCCTCATCAAACAACACAGACTTCAAAATTTTCTTTCCACAGCGAAGGTTAGAAGATGAGCCATTCTGAGACATTTACACACTTGGGAGGGCTGCATTAGCTCTGGGTTTCTCTCAAACATCTTTATAGAGATCATGTGAGAGCAGAGTCTGACCCTCTGGTCAATGGAGACATTCAATAGCATTTCCATACCAAACTTCTTTCCTGAGCAGGCACTCCCAGCAGGCCAGAACAGTAAGCCAGAGTTCACAAGAAGGTTAAATATTAACTGACCATAGCACCAAGGGCCTGCCTGTCCCAGCTGCAGCTGATGGCAAGCCTCTGACTTTGCCAGAACAGGGTCATGTATTGTAACTGCACATGTCTCTGACCAAGGGAACGGAGGAAGGCAGCTCTTGAGGTAAGAAAGTGTAAAAGATGATGTACGCTACCTACAACTGAAAACAAACAATGCCAGCTTAGCATGCATTCCCAGCTGGCACTTATACTTAGAAAACAAACAAACAAACAAACAAAAAGCACACACAAAAAAAACAACTACAACAAAAGTTCCTGAAACACCACAGAAAAAACACAAATGGTTTTTGCTCTCAGTGGCTTAGGCTGGTGAATGTGAATTCTTATTCTTCTGTGAAGTAACTAACTTTCCAACACTCAATACAAATACAATACAAAACCTTTTCTTTTTTTTTCCTATCAAGTGTATCTAAAGAGTATTTCCATATTTCATTTAGCTGCTAGAGTTTTAACATCAGGTATTAAACCCTACCTTAGCACCTACCAGAATCTTTGCATCCAACAGGCAACAGATTAAAACTAGTCCTTGACTTGCATACTGGAACTAGGATTTCCCAGCTCACTGGATGTACTACTCAGTCACTTATAGCATCACCTGCTTATTTTACTGTCTTTCTCTGGATCAAGCACCCCGCTTCACCTCCCTCTCCAGACACCATCCACGGGCTGGGCTCACTAAGCTCAGCAGCCCACTAGCTACAGTGGTCTCCGCATAGATGGGGGAAGGCAGAAAAAGCACTGAGGTCAACCTGCACCCCCTGCACCTGATGAGTAGTGTAACCACTGAGCTAACATGGCAGCAGTCACAGCAGCATCTTTAGCACCTCTGTGCTTTAAATTGGGGAATCCTTGCTTCAGTATTTAAAAAAATCCCCATGAGGTTGGATTCCAACCTTTGGAAGCAGGGTGTGAATCCCATGGCTTGTCTGCATTACCAGTGTGGCTAAACCCAGGAAGACTTAGGTTTTAATACAGACTTTCCTTGAATTTTTCCCATGAACTGCCATTTGGTAGTTTTTCACTCAGTGAACACATTTTAGTGGAGCACCATTTAGGCATGAAATATTCCCCACACAGGATGGGACTGTCAGGCTGTAGGTCCTGTTACACGAACTGACACTTAACTGTGTTTACCCGTTTGGTGGATTGTTATCATTAAAATATGTATGATTTGATTTCCATGGTGCTGAAGACTCTTACCCTGTGCAGACACATGGCAAGGACTACTGCACTCTCCCCAGCACCACTCCATCACTGCCAGACTCTCTGAACACATTACCATAAACTGAGCTGCTCCAGGACTCATCTGCACTGCAGGAAAATGGGCTTGTGGCCACGCAGAATATTGCAGAAGGCATCAGAGGCATTCCAGGGCTCAGGTGATCTAATCTGCATCTGCAACACAGAGCAAACCAGGTGACCAGTGTCAGAAACCGGTAGAGCCCTTGTCTCTGACCTACACCCACTGGTGAATGGGAGAAGTGTTAAGGAAAACCCCCAGCCAGCTCTGTTGCAACATCCCCAGTAAGCCCCAATGTCGCATCCATATAATATACAGGTGGCAATCATCTGACATGAGGACTCACTCAATTGCTATTTCTAGGCATCTAAAAACCAACCACAGCAAAAAAGCACTACTGCCATAAGAAATTACACTGTTTACATTATGTTACTCTAACATCCTTTGACCTTAAATCGGTAGTGTTGCATTTCAGCAACACTTTCAAAAATGCGCATATAAATTCACCACTGAGGTAGTTAATAAAAACTAAATGAAGTGCAATTATTTGTCTGTGTCCTGGCTTTTACCAGTAAGTTTTCTTTAGTTTAGTTCAGGAGGGCAAGTAACGAAAAGAGTTCTGTGACGCCTGACAAAGGAGTTGGTGGTCTCACAGCAGTCCTGCTCACCCTGTCTCCAAAACCAGATTAGCTCTGCTCAGCAACTGGATGTCTGAAGGACACCCCTAGCCTGTAATCAGTCCGGACCCAAGGAATGACAAGGTTGTGTTGCTGCATTCCTTTTCTCCTCATTATTTTCCATAATAAATGCTCCATACTGCCCTTTTTTTTTTTATTTCAATGTCAGCTATGATGCAAGCTTGCACTGACCTCCAGCCTCCACTGTGATAGCACAGCATGGGGTAAATGAAAGCAGAATTTATCATTTCATTTGAAACTCATCAGTGTTGTTGATGCCTATACTGAAAATCACCCTGCTATAGCTGTGTGGGGTTAACAAGACTAACAACATTATGAAGAAGCAGCAGCAATGCCTATGGATTATTAAAGATGAAATAAGTTTCAAGGAACATACTTATTTAAAGGGAAGTTGCCACTTCTGCACAATCGCTTTCAAACTTAAATCAGAAACCTTTCCTGAGGGTTTCTTTTTCTGAAGCCCCCAGTACAGTCCTACCATCCATAAAGGACACACAAGATGAGGTCAAATAAAGCATTTCTAAACTAGATAAAGTATTTTAAAACTAGATAAACACAAGAGGGAAGACATCCTTAGTTGGGGAAAACTCATGATATCCATGATAAGGAGGACGCCTAGCATCTGACTTTCTGTGCTATCTCATTGCATAGTCTAGACATGAGAATTTGGAGACTTTTTCATTCAGACTTCACCAATTTGTTTAGGCTTGGCCTCACATAGTGCATCTCTAAGTCCTGAAAAACATTTGCCTTCTACAGTATGCAGAGGTTATTCAGTAATCTCTTGTCCTGTCCTGAGTTAATTCATTATTTACTCAGACACTCGCAACACAGCTACCGAGCTGCCATGTGACATCCAAAACGTTATTGATCATTCCATTTATTTTTATACATTTGCATGTATTAAAAAGAGAAACCCAGGAAGAAGATAGCTTGATTAAGTTGAAACATAACATAATTTTTTCAGCATAGCAAAAAATATCAGCTAACATATATAACATTTTACTGTTCCTGAGGCTTTTGTGTCCTGCTAACCACCATGACCTGACCTCAGAAATCTGTGATTTTTGACAAAACACAGTTTGTAACAAAGCTTGCTGGAAAAGCTCCTTTAATGATCTGCATTATCTGCTCACCTGAAGAGGAGCAGTATCTGTGAATACCCAGCATTGCCTCCTGTGAATCCAATCTACTAAGACGAGTGAGAAAACTTACAACGTAATTAATTATTCAAAACCTATGATATTCTCTCAGCCAACAGATGACAACAGACAATAGTAGACTTTAAAAACATGTATGTGTTGCCTCTTAGAAGGCAGGCAAAAAAGTAATGCCAAAATTCCAGGCTTAAAAGAAACACCAAGAAAAATTTAGTACAAACAGTACGGAAACACACATCAATGGCTGAAGCTTGATCCATGACAGGGACCTTATGAGAAGTCCTCCTCCATGAGAAGTGGCAGACAGCAGAGAGGGTGGTGATGCTTGACATAGAAGAAGGGGACAAAAGATTGCAGAAAGACTGTAAGTTGCATTACCCACCACCCAGCCTCTGGTCTGAACAATATAATGCCTTGAGCATGTATTAGGAACTATAGCTTTGACAAACGTATTTTACACAGCTTAATTTCTGTGACCCAGGCAACTACTTCATAGATGGACAAGCTGAGACAGA